GCCTGGTCCAAGAGCGTGCCTGGTCCGCGAGCGTGCCTGGCCCAGGAGCTTGCCTGGTCCAGGAGCTTGCCTGGTCCAGGAGCTTGCCTGGTCCAGGAGCTTACCTGGTCCAGGAGCTTGCCTGGTCCATGAGCTTGCCTCGTCCAGGAGCTTACCTGGTCTAGGAGCGTGCCTGGTCAACGAGCCTGCCTGGTCCAAGAGCTTGCCTGGTCTAAGAGCTTGCCTGGTCCAGGAGCTTGCCCGTTCCAGGAGCGTGCCTGGTCCAAGAGCTTGCTATGTCCAAGAGCGTGCTTGGTCCCGTAGCTTGCCTGGTCCAGGAGCTTGCCTCGTCTATGAGCATGCGTTGTCCAAGAGCTTGCCTAGTCCAGGAGCTTGCATGGTCCACGAGCTTGCATGTTCCAGAAGCTTGCCTAGTCCTGGAGCTTGCCTGGTCCAAGAGCTTGCCTGGTCCAGGAGCGTGCCTGCTCCAAGAGCTTGCCTGGTCTAGAAGCTTGCCTGTTCCAGGAGCATGCCTGGTCCAGGAGCTTTCCTGGTCCAGGAGCTTGCTTGGTCCTTGAGCTTGCCTGGTCCAAGAGCTTGCCTAGTCCAAGAGCTTGCCTAGTCCAGGAGCTTGCTTGGTCCAGGAGCTTGCCTGGTCCAAGAGCTTGCCTGGTCCACGAGATTTCCTCGTCCAAGAGCTTGCCTGGTCCAGGAGCTTGCCTGGTCCAGGAGCTTGCCTGGTCCAGGAGCTTGCCTGGTCCAGGAGCTTGCCTTGTCCAGGAGCTTGCCTGGTCCAGGAGCGTGCCTGGTCCTTGAGCTTGCCTGGTCCAAGAGCTTGCCTGGTCCAAGAGCGTGCCTCGTCCGCGAGCGTGCCTGGCCCAGGAGCTTGCCTGGTCCAAGAGCTTGCCTGGTCCAGGAGCTTGCTTGGTCCAGGAGCTTGTCTGGTCCAGGAGCTTGCTTGGTCCAGGAGCTTGCATGGTCTAGGAGCTTGCTTGGTCCAAGAGCTTGCTTGGCCCTGAAGCCTGCCTAGTCCAAGAGCTTGACTGGTCGAGGAGCGTGCCTGGTCGAATAGCGTGCGTGGTCCACGAGCTAGCCTGGTCCAGGAGCTTGCTTTGTCCATGAGCGTGCCTAGTCCAAGAGCTTGCGTGGTCCAGGAGCTTGCGTGGTCCAGGAGCGTGCCTGGTCCACGAGCTTGCCTCGTGCATGAGCATGCCTGGTCCACGAGCTTGCATGGTCCAGGAGCTTGCCTGGTCTAGGAGCATGCGTCGTCCAAGAGCTTGCCTGGTCCAGGAGCTTGCATGGTCCACGAGCTTGCATGTTCCAGAAGCTTGCCTGGTCCAGGAGGTTGCCTGGTCCAAGAGCTTGCCTGGTCCTGGAGGGTGCCTGCTCCAAGAGCTTGCCTGGTCTAGAAGCTTGCCTGTTCTAGGAGCTTGCCTCGTCCAGGAGCTCTCCAGGTTCAAGAGCTTACCTGGTCCAGGAGCATGCCTGGTCCAGGAGCTTTCGTGGTCCAGGAGCTTGCTTGGTCCTTGAGCTTGCCTGGTCCAAGAGCTTGCCTAGTCCAAGAGATCGCCTAGTCCAGGAGCTTGCTTGGTCCACGAGCTTGCCTGGTCCAAGAGCATGCCTGGTCCACAAGATTTCCTCCTCCAAGAGCTTGCCTGGTCCAGGAGCTTGCCTGGTCCAGGAGCTTGCCTTGTCCAGGAGCTTGCCTGGTCCAGGAGCGTGCCTGGTCCACGAGCTTGCCTGGTCCAAGAGCTTGCCTAGTCCAAGAGCGTGCCTAGTCCGCGAGCCTGCCTGGCCGAGGAGCTTGCTTGGTCCAGGAGCTTGCGTGGTATAGGAGCTTGCCTGGTCCAGGAGCTTACCTGGTCCAGGAGCTTGCCTGGTCCATGAGCTTGCCTCGTCCAGGAGCTTACCTGGTCCAGGAGCGTGCCTGGTCCACGAGCCTGCCTGGTCCAGAAGCTTGCCTGGTCTAAGAGCTTGCCTGGTCCAGGAGCTTGCCCATTCCAGGAGCGTGCCTGGTCCAAGAGCTTGCTATGTCCAAGAGCGTGCTTGGTCCCGGAGCTTGTCTGGTCCAGGAGCTTGCCTGGTCTAGGAGCATGCGTGGTCCAAGAGCTTGCCTGGTCCAGGAGCTTGCATGGTCTACGAGCTTGCATGTTCCAGAAGCTTGCCTGGTCCCGGAGCTTGCCTGGTCCAAGAGCTTGCCTGGTCCAGGAGCGTGCCTGCTCTAAGAGCTTGCCTGGTCTAGAAGCTTGCCTCTTCTAGGAGCTTGCCTCGTCCAGGAGCTTTCTAGGTTCAAGAGCTTACCTGGTCCAGGAGCTTGCCTAGTCCAAGAGCGGGGTTTAGGGTTTAGGGTTTAGGGTTTAGGGTTTAGGGTCCTTGAGCTTGCCTGGTCCAAGAGCTTGCCTAGTCCAAGAGCTCGCCTAGTCCTGGAGCTTGCTTGGTCCAGAAGCTTGCCTGGTCCAAGAGCTTGCCTGGTCCACGAGATTTCCTCGTCCAAGAGCTTGCCTGGTCCAGGAGCTTGCCTGGTCCAGGAGCTTGCCTGGTCCAAGAGCGTGCCTCGTCCGCGAGCGTGCCTGGCCCAGGAGCTTGCCTGGTCCAAGAGCTTGCCTGGTCCAGGAGCTTGCTTGGTCCAGGAGCTTGTCTGGTCCAGGAGCTTGCTTGGTCGAGGAGCTTGCATGGTCCAGGAGCTTGCTTGGTCCAAGAGCTTGCTTGGCCCAGAAGCCTGCCTAGTCCAAGAGCTTGACTGGTCGAGGAGCGTGCCTGGTCGAATAGCGTGCGTGGTCCACGAGCTAGCCTGGTCCAGGGGCTTGCTTTGTCCATGAGCGTGCCTGGTCCAAGAGCTTGCGTGGTCCAGGAGCTTGCGTGGTCCAGGAGCGTGCCTGGTCCACGAGCTTGCCTCGTGCATGAGCATGCCTGGTCCACGAGCTTGCATGGTCCAGGAGCTTGCCTGGTCTAGGAGCATGCGTCGTCCAAGAGCTTGCCTGGTCCAGGAGCTTGCATGGTCCACGAGCTTGCATGTTCCAGAAGCTTGCCTGGTCCACGAGGTTGCCTGGTCCAAGAGCTTGCCTGGTCCTGGAGGGTGCCTGCTCCAAGAGCTTGCCTGGTCTAGAAGCTTGCCTGTTCTAGGAGCTTGCCTCGTCCAGGAGCTCTCCAGGTTCAAGAGCTTACCTGGTCCAGGAGCATGCCTGGTCCAGGAGCTTTCGTGGTCCAGGAGCTTGCTTGGTCCTTGAGCTTGCCTGGTCCAAGAGCTTGCCTAGTCCAAGAGATCGCCTAGTCCAGGAGCTTGCTTGGTCCACGAGCTTGCCTGGTCCAAGAGCATGCCTGGTCCACAAGATTTCCTCCTCCAAGAGCTTGCCTGGTCCAGGAGCTTGCCTGGTCCAGGAGCTTGCCTTGTCCAGGAGCTTGCCTGGTCCAGGAGCGTGCCTGGTCCACGAGCTTGCCTGGTCCAAGAGCTTGCCTAGTCCAAGAGCGTGCCTAGTCCGCGAGCCTGCCTGGCCGAGGAGCTTGCTTGGTCCAGGAGCTTGCGTGGTCTAGGAGCTTGCCTGGTCCAGGAGCTTACCTGGTCCAGGAGCTTGCCTGGTCCATGAGCTTGCCTCGTCCAGGAGCTTACCTGGTCCAGGAGCGTGCCTGGTCCACGAGCCTGCCTGGTCCAGAAGCTTGCCTGGTCTAAGAGCTTGCCTGGTCCAGGAGCTTGCCCATTCCAGGAGCGTGCCTGGTCCAAGAGCTTGCTATGTCCAAGAGCGTGCTTGGTCCCGGAGCTTGTCTGGTCCAGGAGCTTGCCTGGTCTAGGAGCATGCGTGGTCCAAGAGCTTGCCTGGTCCAGGAGCTTGCATAGTCTACGAGCTTGCATGTTCCAGAAGCTTGCCTGGTCCCGGAGCTTGCCTGGTCCAAGAGCTTGCCTGGTCCAGGAGCGTGCCTGCTCTAAGAGCTTGCCTGGTCTAGAAGCTTGCCTCTTCTAGGAGCTTGCCTCGTCCAGGAGCTTTCTAGGTTCAAGAGCTTACCTGGTCCAGGAGCTTGCCTAGTCCAGGAGCTTGCTTGGTCCTTGAGCTTGCCTGGTCCAAGAGCTTGCCTAGTCCAAGAGCTCGCCTAGTCCAGGAGCTTGCTTGGTCCAGAAGCTTGCCTGGTCCAAGAGCTTGCCTGGTCCACGAGATTTCCTCGTCCAAGAGCTTGCCTGGTCCAGGAGCTTGCCTGGTCCAGGAGCTTGCCTGGTCCAGGAGCGTGCCTGGTCCAGGAGCTTGCCTAGTCCAGGAGCTTGCCTTGTCCAGGAGCTTGCCTGGTCAAGGAGCGTGCCTGGTCCACGAGCTTGCCTGGTCCAAGAGCTTGCCTGGTCCAAGAGCGTGCCTCATCCGCGAGCGTGCCTGGCCCAGGAGCTTGCCTGGTCCAAAAGCTTGCCTGGTCCAGGAGCTTGCCTGGTCGAGGAGCTTGTCTGGTCCAGGAGCTTGCCTGGTCCAGGAGCGTGCATGGTCCAGGAGCTTGCTTGGTCCAGGAGCTTGCTTGGCCCAGAAGCCTGCCTAGTCCAAGAGCTTGACTGGTCGCGGAGCGTGCGTGGTCCAATAGCGTGCGTGGTCCACGAGCTAGCCTGGTCCAAGAGCTTGCTTTGTCTAGGAGCGTGCGTGGTCCAAGAGCTTGCATGGTCCATGAGCGTGCCTGGTCCAAGAGCTTGCGTGGTCCAGGAGCTTGCCTGGTCCAGGAGCTTGCCCGGTCCGGGAGCTTGCCTGGTCTAGGAGCTTGCCTGGTCCAGGAGCTTGCCTGGTCTAGGAGCTTGCCAGGTCCAGGAGCTTTCCTGGTCTAGGAGCTTGCCTGGTCCAGGAGCGTGCGTGGTCCACGAGCTTGCCTGGTCTAGGAGCTTGCCTGGTCCAAGAGCTTGCCTGGTCCAAGAGCTTACCTCGTCTTGGAGCTTGCGTGGTCCTGGAGATGGAAAGCGGGAGAATGGGGCGGGGTGATGGAAAGCGGGAGAATGGGGCGGGGTGATGGAAGCAGGGAGAATGAGGCGGGGTGATGGAAGGAGGGAGAATGGGGCGGGGTCATGGAAAGCGGGAGAATGGGGCGGGGTGATGGAAAGCGGGAGAATGGGGCGGGGTGTTGGAAAGCGGGAGAATGGGGCGTGTAATGGAAAGCGGGAGAATGAGGCGGGGTGATGGAAGGAGGGAGAATGGGGAGGGGTGATGGAAAGCGGGGGAATGGGGCGGGATGATGGGAAGCGGGAGAATGGGGCGGGGTGATGGAAAGCGGGAGAATGGGGCGGGGTGATGGAAAGCGGGAGAATGGGGCAGGGAGATGGAAAGCGGGAGAAAGGGGCGGGGTGATGGAAAGCGGGAGAATGGGGCGGGTTGATGGAAAGCGGGAAAATGGGGCGGGGTGATGGAAGGAGGGAGAATGGGGCGGGATGATGGAAGGAGGGAGAAGGGGGCGGGGTGATGGAAAGCGGAAGAATGGCGCGGGGTGATGGAAAGCGGGAGAACGGGGCAGGGTGATGGAAAGCGGGAGAATGGGGCGGGGTGATGGAAAGTGGGAGAATGGTGCGGGGTGATGGAAAGCGGAGGAATGGGGCAGGGTGATGGAAAGCGGGAGAATGGGGCGGGGTGAAGGAAGGAGGGAGAATGGGGCGGGGTGATGGAAAGAGGAAGAAGGGGGCGGGGTGATGGAAAGCGGGAGAATGGGGCGGGGTGATGAAAAGCGGGAGAATGGGGCGGGGTGATGGAAAGCGGGAGAATAGGGCGGTGTGATGGAAAGCGGGAGAATGGGGCGGGTGATGGAAAGCGGGTGAATGGGGCAGGGTGATGGAAAGCGGGAGAATGGGGCGGGGTGATGGAAAGCAGAAGAATGGGGTGGGGTGATGGAAAGCGGGAGAATGGGGCGAGGTGATGGAAAGCGGGAGAATGGGGCGGGTGATTGAAAGCGGGAGAATGGGGCGGGAGATGGAAAGCGGGAGAAAGGGGCGGGGTGATGGAAGGAGGGAGAATGGGGCGGGGTGATAGAAACCAGGAGAATGGGGCGGGATGATGGGAAGCGGGAGAATGGGGCCGGGTGATGGAAAGCGGGAGAATGGGGCGGGGTGATGGAAAGCGGGAGAATGGGGCACGGAGATGGAAAGCGGGAGAAAGGGGCGGGGTGATGGAAAGCGGGAGAATGGGGCGGGGTGATGGAAAGCGGGAGAATGGGGCGGGGTGATGGAAGGAGGGAGAATGGGGCGGGGTGATGGAAGGAGGGAGAAGGGGGCGGGGTGATGGAAAGCGGGAGAATGGGGCGGGGTGATGGAAAGCGGGAGAATGGGGCGGGGTGATGGAAGGAGGGAGAATGGGGCGGGGTGATGGAAAAGCGGGAGAATGGGGCGGGGTGATGGAAAGCGGGAGAATGGGGCAGGGTGATGGAAAGCGGGAGAATGGGGCGGGGTGAAGGAAGGAGGGAGAATGGGGCGGGGTGATGGAAGGAGGAAGAAGGGGGCGGGGTGATGGTAAGCGAGAGAATGGGCTGGGGTGTTGGAAAGCGGGAGAATGGGGCGGGGTGATGAAAAGCGGGAGAATGGGGCGGGGTGATGGAAAGCGGGAGAATGGGGCGGGGTGATGGAAAGTGGGAGAATGGGGCGGGGTGATGGAAAGCGGGAGAATGGGGCCAGTGATGGAAAGCGGGTGAATGGGGCAGGGTGATGGAAAGCGGGAGAATGGGGCGGGGTGATGGAAAGCAGAAGAATAGGGCGGGGTGATGGAAAGCGGGAGAATGGGGCGAGGTGATGGAAAGCGGGAGAATGGGGCAAGTGATGGAAAGCGGGAGAATGGGGGGGGGAGATGGAAAGCGGGAGAAAGGGGCAGGGTGATGGAAGGAGGGAGAATGGGGAGGGGTGATGGAAAGCGGGGGAATGGGGCGGGATGATGGGAAGCAGAAGAATGGGGCGGGGTGATGGATAGCGGGAGAATGGGGCGGTGTGATGGAAAGCGGGAGAATGGGGCGGGGAGATGGAAAGCGGGAGAAAGGGGCGGGGTGATGGAAAGCGGGAGAATGGGGCGGGCTGATGGAAAGCGGGAGAATGGGGCGGGGTGATGGACGGAGGGAGAATGGGGCGGGGTGATGGAAGGAGAGAGAAGGGTGCGGGGTGATGGAAAGCGGGAGAATGGGGTGGGGTTATGGGAAGCGGGAGAATGGGGCGGGGTGATGGAAAGCGGGAGAATGGGGCGGGGTGATGGAAGGAGGGAGAATGGGGCGGGGTGATGGAAGGAGGGAGAATGGGGCGGGGTGATGGAAAGCGGGAGAATGGGGAGGGGTGATGGAAGGAGGGAGAATGGGGAGGGGTGATGGAAAGCGGGAAAATGTGGCGGGGTGATGGAAAGCGGGAGAATGGGGCGGGGTGATGGAACGCGGGAGAATGGAGCGGGGTGATGGAATGAGAGAGAATGGGGCAGGGTGATAGAAGGAGGGAGAATGGGGCGGGGTGATGGAAAGCGGGAGAATGGGGCGGGGTGATGGAAGGAGGGAGAATGGGGCAGGGTGATGGAAAGCGGGAGAATGGGTCGGGGTGATGGAAAGCGGGAGAACGGGGCGGGGTGATGGAAAGCAAGAGAATGGGGCGGGGTGATAGAAGGAGGGAGAATGGGGAGGGGTGATGGAAAGCAGGGGAATGGGGCGGGATGATGGGAAGCGGAAGAATGGGGCGGGGTGATGGAAAGCGGGAGAATGGGGCGGGGTGATGGAAAGCGGGAGAATGGGGCGGGGAGATGGAAAGCGGGAGAAAGGGGAGGGGTGATGGAAAGCGGGAGAATGGGGCGGGCTGATGGAAAGCGGGAGAATGGGGCAGGGTGATGGAAAGAGGGAGAATGGGGCGGGGTGATGGAAGGAGAGAGAAGGGTGCGGGGTGATGGAAAGTGGAAGATTGTGGCGGGGTGATGGAAAGCGGGAGAATGGGGTGGGGTTATGGGAAGCGGGAGAATGGGGCGGGGTGATGGAAAGCGGGAGAATGGGGCGGGGTGATGGAAGGAGGGAGAATGGGGCGGGGTGATGGAAGGAGAGAGAATGGGGCGGGGTGATGGAAAGCGGGAGAATGGGGAGGGGTGATGGAAGGAGGGAGAATGGGGAGGGCTGATGGAAAGCGGGGAAATGGGGCGGGGTGAAGGAAAGCGGGAGAATGGGGCGGGGTGATGGAAAGCGGGAGAAAAGGGCAGGGAGATGGAAAGCGGGAGAATGGAGCGGGGTGATGGAAAGCGGGAGAATGGGGCGGGTGATATAAGGAGGAAGAAGGGGGCGGGGTGATGGAAAGCGAGAGAATGGGCTGGGGTGTTGGAAAGCGGGAGAATGGGGCGGGGTGATGAAAAGCGGGAGATTGGGGCGGGGTGATGGAAAGCGGGAGAATGGGGCGGGGTGATGGAAAGCGGGAGAATGGGGCGGTTGATGGAAAGCGGGTGAATGGGGCAGGGTGATGGAAAGCGGGAGAATGGGGCGGGGTGATGGAAAGCAGAAGAATGGGGCGGGGTGATGGAACGCGGGAGAATGGGGCGAGGTGATGGAAAGCAGGATAATGGGGCGGGTGATGGAAAGTGGGAGAATGGGGCGGGGTGATGGAAGGAGGGAGATTGGGGAGGGGTGATGGAAAGCGAGGGAATGGGGCGGGATGATGGGAAGCGGAAGAATGGGGCGGGGTGATGGAAAGCGGGAGAATGGGGCGGTGTGATGGAAAGCGGGAGAATGGGGCAGGGTGATGGAAAGCGGGAGAATGGGGCGGGGTGAAGGAAGGAGGGAGAATGGGCCGGGGTGATGGAAGAAGGAAGAAGGGGGCGGGGTGATGGAAAGTGGGAAAATGTGGCGGGGTGATGGAAAGCAGGAGAATGAGGTGGGGTTATGGGAAGCGGGAGAATGGGGCGGGGTGATGGAAAGCGGGAGAATGGAGCGGGGTGATGGAATGAGGGAGAACGGGGCGGGGTTATGGGAAGCGGGAGAATGGGGCGGGGTGATGGAAAGCGGGAGAATGGGGCGGGGTGATGGAAGGAGGGAGAATGGGGCGGGGTGATGGAAAGCGGGAGAATGGGGCGGGGTGATGGAAAGCGGGAGAATGGGGCGGGGTGATGGAAAAGGGAGAATGGGGCTGGGTGATGGAAAGCGGGAGAATGGGGCGGGGTGATGGAAAGCGGGAGAATGGGGCGGGGTGATGGAAGGAGGGAGAATGGGACGGGGTGATGGAAGGAGGGAGAATGGGGCGGGGTGATGGAAAGCAGGAGAATGGGGCGGGGTGATGGAAGGAGGGAGAATGGGGCGGGGTGATGGAAAGCGGGAGAATGGGGCGGGGTGATGGAAAGCGGGAGAATGGGGCGGGGTGATGGAAAAGGGAGAATGGGGCAAGGTGATGGAAAGCGGGAGAATGGGGCGGGGTGATGGAAAGCGGGAGAATGGGGCGGGGTGATGGAAGGAGGGAGAATGGGGCGGGGTGATGGAAAGCGGGAGATTGGGGCAGGGTGATGGAAAGCGGGAGAATGGGGCGGGGTGATGGAAAGCGGGAGAATGGGGCGGGGTGATGGAAGGAGGGAGAATGGGGCGGGGTGATGGAAAGCGGGAGATTGGGGCAGGGTGATGGAAAGCGGGAGAATGGGGCAGGGTGATGGAAAGCGGAAAAATGGGGCCTGGTGATGGTAAGCGGGAGAATGGGGCTAAGTGATGAAAAGCGGGAGAATGGGGCGGGGTGATGGAAAGCGGGAGAATGGGGCGGGGTGATGGAAGGAGGGAGAATGAGGCGGGGTGATGGAAGGAGGGAGAATGGGGCGGGGTGATGGAAAGTGGGAGAATGGGTCGGGGTGATGGAAAGCGGGAGAATGGGGCGGAGTGATGGAAAGCGGGAGAAAGGGGCGGGGTGATGGAAAGCGGGAGAATGGGGCGGGGTGATGGAAAGCGGGAGAAAGGGGAAGAGTGATGGACAGCGGGAGAATGGGGCGGGCTGATGGAAAGCGGGAGAAAGGGGAGGGGTGATGGAAAGCTGGAGAATGGGGCGGGTTGATGGATAGCGGGAGAATGGGGCGGGGTGATGGAAGGAGGGAGAATGGGGCGGGGTGATGGAAAGCGGGAGAATGGGGCGGGGTGATGGAAAGCGGGAGAATGGGGCAGGGTGATGAAAAGCGGGAGAATGGGGCTGCGTTATGGAAAGCAGGAGAATGGGGCGGGGTGATGGAAGGAGGGAGAATGGGGTGGGGTGATGGAAAGCGAGAGATTGGGGCAGGGTGATGGAAAGCGGGAGAATGGGGCGGGGTGATGGAAGGAGGGAGAATGGGGCGGGGTGATGGAAAGCGGGAGATTGGGGCAGGGTGATGGAAAGCGGGAGAATGGGGCGGGGTGATGGAAAGCGGAAAAATGGGGCGGGATGATGGAAAGCGGGAGAATGGGGCTAAGTGATGGAAAGCGGGAGAATGGGGCGGGGTGATGGAAAGTGGGAGAATGGGGCGGGGAGATGGAAAGCGGGAGAAAGGGGAGGGGTGATGGAAAGCTGGAGAATGGGGCGGGTTGATGGATAGCGGGAGAATGAGGCGGGGTGATGGAAGGAGGGAGAATGGGGCGGGGTGATGGAAAACGGGAGAATGGGGCGGGGTGATGGAAAGCAGGAGAAGGGGGTGGGGTTATGGGAAGCGGGAGAACAGGGCGGGGTGATGGAAAGTGGGAGAATGGGGCGGGGTGATGGAAGGAGGGAGAATGGGGCGGGGTGATGGAAAGCGGGAGAATGGGGCGGGGTGATGGAAGGAGGGAGAATGGGGCGGGGTGATGGAAAGCGGGAGAATGGAGCGGGGTGATGGAAAGCGGGAGAATGGGGCAGGGTGATGGAAAGCGGGAGAAAGGGGCAGAGTGATGGACAGCGGGAGAATGGGGCGGGCTGATGGAAAGCGGGAGAATTGGGCGGGGTGATGGAAGGAGGGAGAATGGGGCGGGGTGATGGAAGGAGAAAGAAGGGGGCGGGGTGATGGAAAGTGGGAAAATGTGGCAGGGTGATGGAAAGCGGGAGAATGGGGTGGGGATATGGGAAGCGGGAGAATGGGGCGGGGTGATGGAAAACGGGAGAATGGGGCGGGGTGATAGAATGAGGGAGAATGGGGCGGGGTGATGGAAGGAGGGAGAACGGGGCGGGCTGATGGAAAGCGGGAGAATGGGGCGGGGTGATGGAAGGAGGAAGAATGGGGGGGGGTGATGGAAAGCGGGAGAATGGGGCGGGGTGATGGAAAGCGGGAGAAAGGGGAGGGGTGATGGAAAGCGGGAGAATGGGGCAGGCTGATAGATAGCGGGAGAATGGGGCGGGGTGATGGAAGGAGGGAGAATGGGGCGGGGTGATGGAAATCGGGAGAATGGGGCGGGGTGATGGGAAGCAGGAGAAGGGGGTGGGGTTATGGGAAGCGGGAGAACAGGGTGGGGTGATGGAAAGCGGGAGAACAGGGCGGGGTGATGAAAGGAGGGAGAATGGGGCGGGGTGATGGAAGGAGGGAGAATGGGTCGGGGTGATGGAAAGCGGGAGAATGGGGCGGGGTGATGGAAAGCGGGAGAATGGGGCAGGGTGATGAAAAGCGGGAGAATGGGGCTGCGTTATGGAAAGCAGGAGAATGGGGCGGGGTGATGGAAGGAGGGAGAATGGGGTGGGGTGATGGAAAGCGAGAGATTGGGGCAGGGTGATGGAAAGCGGGAGAATGGGGCGGGGTGATGGAAGGAGGGAGAATGGGGCGGGGTGATGGAAAGCGGAAGATTGGGGCAGGGTGATGGAAAGCGGGAGAATGGGGCGGGGTGATGGAAAGCGGAAAAATGGGGCGGGATGATGGAAAGCGGGAGAATGGGGCTAAGTGATGGAAAGCGGGAGAATGGGGCGGGGTGATGGAAAGTGGGAGAATGGGGCGGGGTGATGGAAGGAGGGGGAATGAGGCGGGGTGATGGAAGGAGGGAGAATGGGGCGGGGTGATGGAAAGTGGGAGAATGGGTCGGGGTGATAGAAAGCAGGAGAATGGGGCGGAGTGATGGAAGGTGGGAGAATGGGGCAGGGTGATGGAAAGCGGGAGAATGGGGCAGAGTGATGGAAAGTGGGAAAATGTGGCGGGGTGATGGAAAGCGGGAGAATGGGGTGGGGTTATGGGAAGTGGGAGAATAGGGCGGGGTGATGGAAAGCGGGAGAATGGGGCGGGGTGATAGAATAAGGGAGAATGGGGCGGGGTGATGGAAGGAGGGAGAATGGGGCGGGGTGATGGAAAGCGGGAGAATGGGGCGGGGTGATGGAAGGAGGAAGAATGGGGCGGGGTGATGGAAAGCGGGAGAATGGGGCGGGGTGATGGAAAGCGGGAGAATGGGGCGGGGAGATAGAAAGCGGGAGAAAGGGAAAGGGTGATGGAAAGCTGGAGAATGGGGCGGGCTGATGGATAGCGGGAGAATGGGGTGGGGTGATGGACGGAGGGAGAATGGGGCGGGGTGATGGAAATCGGGAGAAGGGGGCGGGGTGATGGAAAGGAGGAGAAGGGGGTGGGGTTATGGGAAGCGGGAGAACAGGGTGGGGTGATGGAAAGCGGGAGAATGGGGCGGGTGATGGAAGGAGGGAGAATGGGGCGGGGTGATGGAAGGAGGGAGAATGGGGCGGGGTGATGGAAAGCGGGAGAGTGGGGCGGGGTGATGGAAGGAGGGAGAATGGGGCGGGGTGATGGAAAGCGGGAGAATGGGGCGGGGTGATGGAAAGCGGGAGAATGGGGCCGGGTGATGAAAAGCGGGAGAATGGGGCTGCGTGATGGAAAGCGGGAGAATGGGGCGGGGTGATGGAAGGAGGGAGAATGGGGTGGGGTGATGGAAAGCGAGAGATTGGGGCAGGGTGATGGAAAGCGGGAGAATGGGGCGGGGGGATGGAAGGAGGGAGAATGGGGCGGGGTGATGGAAAGCGGGAGATTGGGGCAGGGTGATGGAAAGCGGGAGAATGGGGCGATGATGGAAAGCGGAAAAATGGGGCGGGATGATGGAAAGCGGGAGAATGGGGCTAAGTGATGGAAAGCGGGAGAATGGGGCGGGGTGATGGAAAGCGGGAGAATGGGGCGGGGTGATGGAAGGAGGGGGAATGAGGCGGGGTGATGGAAGGAGGGAGAATGGGGCGGGGTGATGGAAAGTGGGAGAATGGGTCGGGGTGATGGAAAGCGGGAGAATGGGGCGGAGTGATGGAAGGTGGGAGAATGGGGCGGGGTGATGGAAAGCGGGAGAATTGGGCGGGGTGATGGAAAGCAGGAGAAAGGGGCGGGGTGATGGAAAGCGGGAGAATGGGGCGGGCTGATGGAAAGCGGGAGAATGGGGCGGGGTGATGAAAAGCGGGAGAATGGGGCGAGGTGATGGAAAGCGGGAGAATGGGGCGGGGTGATGGAAAGCGGGAGAAAGGGGCGGGGTGATGGACAGCGGGAGAATTGGGCGGGCTGATGGAAAGCGGGAGAATGGGGCAGGGTGATGGAAGGAGGGAGAATGGGGCGGGGTGATGGAAGGAGAGAGAAGGGGGCGGGGTGATGGAAAGTGGGAAAATGTGGCGGGGTGATGGAAAGCGGGAGAATAGGGTGGGGTTATGGGAAGCGGGAGAATGGGGCGGGGTGATGGAAAGCGGGAGAATGGGGCGGGGTGATGGAAGGAGGGAGAATGGGACGGGGTGATGGAAAGCGGGAGAATGGGGCGGGGTGATGGAAGGAGGAAGAATGGGGCGGGGTGATGGAAAGCGGGAGAATGGGGCGGGGTGATGGAAAGCGGGAGAATGGGGCGGGGTGATGGAAAGCGAGAGAATGGGGCGGGGTGATGGAAGGAGGGAGAATGGGGAGGGGTGATGGAAAGCGGGGGAATGGGGCGGGATGATGGGAAGCGGAAGAATGGGGCGGGGTGATGGAAAGCGGGAGAATGGGGCGGGGTGATGGGAAGCGGGAGAATGGGGCGCGGAGATGGAAAGTGGGAGAAAGGGGAGGGGTGAAGGAAAGCAGGAGAATGGGGCGGGCTGATGGAAAGCGGGAGAATGGGGCGGGGTGATGGAAGGAGGGAGAATGGGGCAGGGTGATGGAAGGAGAGAGAAGAGGGCGGGGTGATGGAAAGTGGAAGAATGTGGCGGGGTAATGGAAAGCGGGAGAATGGGGTGGGGTTATGGGAAGCAGGAGAATGGGGCGTGGTGATGGAAAGCGGGAGAATGGGGCGGGGTGATGGAAGGAGGGAGAATGGGGCGGGGTGATGGAAGGAGGGAGAATGGGGCGGAGTGATGGAAAGCAGGAGAATGGGGCGGGGTGATGGAAGGAGGGAGAATGGGGCGGGATGATGGAAAGCGGGAGAATGGGGCGGGGTGATGGAAAGCGGGAGAATGGGGCGGGGTGATGGAAAGCGGGAGAATGGGGCGGGGTGATGGAAATTGGAAGAATGGGGCGGGGTGATGGAAAGCGGGAGAATGGGGCGGGGTGACGGAAGGAGGGAGAATGGGGCGGGGTGATAGATAGCGGGAGAATGTGGCGGGGTGATGGAAAGCGGGAGAAGGGGGTGGGGTTATGGGAAGCGGGAGAATGGGGCGGGGTGATGGAAAGCGGGAGAATAGAGCGGGGTGATGGAAAGCGGGAGAATGGGGCGGGATGATGGAAAGCGGGAGAATGGGGCGGGGTGATGGAAAGCGGGAGAATGGGGCGGGGTGATGGAAAGCGGGAGAATGGGGCGGGGTGATGGAAATTGGGAGAATGGGGCGGGGTGATGGAAAGCGGGAGAATGGGGCGGGGTGACAGAAGGAGGGAGAATGGGGCGGGGTGATAGAAAGCGGGAGAATGTGGCGGGGTGATGGAAAGCGGGAGAAGGGGGTGGGGTTATGGGAAGCGGGAGAATGGGGCGGGGTGATGGAAAGCGGGAGAATGGGGCGGGGTGATGGAAGGAGGGAGAATGGGGCGGGGTGATGGAAGGAGGGAGAATGGGGCGGGGTGATGGAAAGCGGGAGAATGTGGCGGGGTGATGGAAGGAGGGAGAATGGGGCGGGGTGATGGAAAGAGGGAGAATGGGGCGGGGTGATGGAAAGAGGGAGAATGGAGAGGGGTGATGGAAAGAGGGAGAATGGGGCGGGGTGATGGAAAGCAGGAGAATAGAGCGGGGTGATGGAAAGCGGGAGAATGGGGCGGTGTGATGGAAAGCGGGAGAATGGGGCGGGGTGATGGAAAGCGAGAGAATGGGGCAGGGTGATGGAAAGAGGGAGAATGGGGCGCGGTGATGGAAAGAGGGAGAATGAGGCGGGGTGATGGAAAGCGGGAGAATGGGGCTGGATGATGGAAAGAGGGAGAATGGGAAGGGGTGATGGAAAGAGGGAGAATTGGGCGGGATGTTGGAAAGTGGGAGAATGGAGCTTGGTGATGGAAAGCGGGAGAATGGGGCGGGGTGATGGAAAGCGGGAGAATGGGACGGGGTGATGGAAAGAGTGAAAATGGGGCGGGGTGATGGATTGGGGGAGAATGGGGCGGGGTGATGGAAAGAGGGAGAATGGGGCGGGGTGATGGAAAGCGGGAGAATGGGACGGGGTGATGGAAAGAGTGAAAATGGGGAGGGGTGATGGATTGGGGGAGAATGGGGCGGGGTGATGGAAAGAGGGAGAATGGGTCGGGGTGATGGAAAGAGGGAAAATTGGGCGGGGTGATGGAAAGCAGGAGAATGGGACGGGGTGATGGAAAGCAGTAGAATGGGGCGGGGTGATGGAAAGCAGTAGAATGGTGCGGGGTGATGGAAAGCGGGAGAATGGTGCGGGGTGATGGAAAGAGGGAGAATTGGGAGGGGTGATGGAAAGAGGGAGAATGGAGAGGGGTGATGGAAAGAGGGAGAATTGGGCGGGGTGATGGAAAGCGGGAGAATAGAGCGGGGTGATGGAAAGCGGGAGAATGGGGCGGTGTGATGGAAAGCGGGATAATGGGGCGGGGTGATGGAAAGCGAGAGAATGGGGCAGGGTGATGGAAAGAGGGAGAATGGGGCGCGGTGATGGAAAGAGGGAGAATGAGGCGGGGTGATGGAAAGCGGGAGAATGGGGCTGGATGATGGAAAGAGGGAGAATGGGAAGGGGTGATGGAAAGAGGGAGATTTGGGCGGGGTGTTGGAAAGTGGGAGAATGGAGCGGGGTGATGGAAAGCGGGAGAATGGGGCGGGGTGATGGAAAGCGGGAGAATGGGACGGGGTGATGGAAAGAGTGAAAATGGGGCGGGGTGATGGATTGGGGGAGAATGGGGCGGGGTGATGGAAAGAGGGAGAATGGGGCGGGGTGATGGAAAGAGGGAAAATTGGGCGGGGTGATGGAAAGCGGGAGAATGGCGGGGTGATGGAAAGCGGGAGAATGGGACGGGGTGATGGAAAGCAGTAGAATGGGGCGGGGTAATGGAAAGAGGGAGAATGGGGCGGGTGAAGGAAAGCGGGAGAATGGGGCGGGGTGATGGAAAGAGGGAGAATGTTGAGGGGTGATGGAAAGAGGGAGAATTGGGCGGGGTGATGGAAAGCGGGAGAATGGAGCGGGGTGATGGAAAGCGGGAGAATGGGGCGGGGTGATGGAAAGCGGGAGAATGGGACGGGGTGATGGAAAGAGTGAAAATGGGGCGGGGTGATGGAAATCGGGAGAATGGGGCGGGGTGATGGAAAGAGGGAGAATGGGGCGGGGTGATGGAAAGCGGGAGAATGGGACGGGGTGATGGAAAGGGTGAAAATGGGGAGGGGTGATGGATTGGGGGAGAATAAGGCGGGGTGATGGAAAGAGGGAGAATGGGTCGGGGTGATGGAAAGAGGGAAAATTGGGCGGGGTGATGGAAAGCAGGAGAATGGGACGGGGTGATGTAAAGCAGTAGAATGGGGCGGGGTGATGGAAAGCAGTAGAATGGTGCGGGGTGATGGAAAGCGGGAGAATGGTGCCGGGTGATGGAAAGAGGGAGAATGGGGCGGGGTGATGGAAAGAGGGAGAATGGAGAGGGGTGATGGAAAGAGGGAGAATTGGGCGGGGTGATGGAAAGCGGGAGAATAGAGCAGGGTGATGGAAAGCGGGAGAATGGGGCGGTGTGATGGAAAGCGGGAGAATGGGGCGGGGTGATTGAAAGCGAGAGAATGGGGCAGGGTGATGGAAAGAGGGAATATGGGGCGCGGTGATGGAAAGAGGGAGAATGAGGCGGGGTGATGGAAAGCGGGAGAATGGGGCTGGATGATGGAAAGAGGGAGAATGGGAAGGGGTGATGGAAAGAGGGAGAATTGGGCGGCGTGTTGGAAAGCGGGAGAATGGAGCGGGGTGATGGAAAGCGGGAGAATGGGGCGGGGTGATGGATAGCAGGAGAATGGGACGGGGTGATGGAAAGAGTGAAAATGGGGCGGGGTGATGGATTGGGGGAGAATGGGGCGGGGTGATGGAAAGAGGGAGAATGGGGCGGGGTGATGGAAAGAGGGAAAATTGGGCGGGGTGATGGAAAGCGGGAGAATGGAGTGGGGTGATGGAAAGCGGGAGAATGGGACGGGGTGATGGAAAGCACTAGAATGGGGCGGGGTGATGGAAAGCGGGAGAATGGTGCGGGGTGATGGAAAGAGGGAGGATCGGGCGAGGTGATGGAAAGAGGGACAATGGGGCGGGGTGATGGAAAACGGGAGAATGGGGCGGGGTGATGGAAAGAGGGAGAATGGGGAGGGGTGATGGAAAGAGGGAGAATTGGGCAGGGTGATGGGAAGCGGGAGAATGGAGCAGCTTGATGGACAGCAGTAGAATGGGGCGGGGTGATGGAAAGAGGGAGGATCGGGCGAGGTGATGGAAAGCGGGAGAATGGGGCGGGGTGATGGAAAGCGGGAGAATGGGGCGGGGTGATGGAAAGAGGGAGAATGGGGAGGGGTGATGGAAAGAGGGAGAATTGGGCAGGGTGATGGGAAGCGGGAGAATGGAGCAGCGTGATGGACAGCAGTAGAATGGGGCGGGGTGATGGAAAGAGGGAGGATCGGGTGAGGTGATGGAAAGCGGGAGAATGGGGCGGGGTGATGGAAAGAGGGAAAATGGCGCAGGGTGATGGAAAGCGGGAGAATGGGGCGGGTTGATGGAAAGAGGGAGAATGGGGCGAGGTGATGGAAAGAAGGAGAATGGGGCGGGGTGATGGAAAGCTGGAGGGCGGGGTGATGGAAAGAGGGAGAATGGGGCGGGGTGATGGAAAGCGGGAGAATGGGGCGGGGTGATGGAAAAAAGGAGGATGGGGAGGGGTGATGGAAAGAGGGAGAATTGGGCGGGGTGATGGAAAGCGGGACAATGGAGCGGGATGATGGAAAGCGAGAGAATGGGGCGGGGTGATGGAAAGCGGGAGAATGGGGCGGGGTGATGGAAAGAGGGAAAATGGTGCGGGGTGATGGAAAGCGGGAGAATGGGGCGGGGTTATGGAAAGAGGGAGAATGGGGCGGGGTGATGGAAAGAGGGAGAATGGGGCGGGGTGATGGAAAGCGGGAGAATGGGGCGGGGTGATGGAAAGAGGGAGAATGGGGCGGGGTGATGGAAAGAGGGAGAATTGGGCGGGGTGATGGAAGGCGGGAGAGTGGGGCGGGGTGATGGAAAGAGGGAGAATGGGGCGGGGTGATGGAAAGAGGGAGAATGGGGCGGGGTGATGGAAATTGGGAGAATGGGGCGGGGTGATGGAAATCAGGAGAATGGGGCGGGGTGATGGAAAGAAGAAGAATGGGGCGGGGTGATGGAAAGAGGGAGAATGGGGCTGGGCGATGGAAAGCGGGAGAATGGGGCGGGATGATGGAAAGCGGGAGAATGGGGCGGGGTGATGGAAATTAGGAGAATGGGGCGGGGTGATGGAAAAAGGGAGAATGGGGAGGGGTGATGGAAAGAGTGAGAATTGGGCGGGGTGATGGAAAGCGGGACAATGGAGCGGGATGATGGAAAGCGGGAGAATGGGGCGGGGTGATGGAAAGCGGGAGAATGGGGCGGGGTGATGGAAAGAGGGAAAATGGCGCAGGGTGATGGAAAGCGGGAGAAAGGGGCGGGGTGATGGAAAGTGGAAGAATGGGGCGGGGTGATGGAAAGAAGGAGAATGGGGCGGGGTGATGGAAAGCGGGAGAATGGGGCGGGGTGATGGAAAGGGGGAGAATGGGGCGGGGCGATGGAAAGCGGGAGAATGGGGCGGGGTGATGGAAAGCGAGAGAATGGGGCGGGGTGATGGAAAGTGGGAGAATAGGGAGGGTTGATGGAAAGAGGGAGAATTGGGCGGGGTGATGGAAAGCGGGAGAATGGAGCGGGGTGATGGAAAGCGAGAGAATGGGGCGGGGTGATGGAAAGCGGGAGAATGGGGAGGGGTGATGGAAAGAGTGAGAATTGGGCGGGGTGATGGAAAGCGGGACAATGGAGCGGGATGATGGAAAGCGAGAGAATGGGGCGGGTTGATGGAAAGTGGGAGAATGGGGCGGGGTGATGGAAAGAGGGAAATTGGCGCGGGGTGATGGAAAGGGGGAGAATGGGGCGGGGTGATGGAAAGAGGGAGAATGGGGCGGGGTGATAGAAAGAAGGAGAATGGGGCGGGGTGATGGAAAGCGGGAGAATGGGGCGGGGTGATGGAAAGCGGGAGAACGGGACGGGGTGATGGAAAGAGAGAGAATGGGGCGGGGTGATGGAAAGCGGGAGAATGGGGCGGGGTGATGGAAAGTGGGAGAATGGGGCGGGGTGATGGAAAGCGGGAGAATGGGGAGGGGTGATGGAAAGAGGGAGAATGTGGAGAGGTGATGGAAACAGGGAGAATTGGGCGGGTCGATGGAAAGCGGGAGAATGGAGCGGGGTGATAGAAAGCGGGAGAATGGGGCGGGGTGATGGAAAGCGGGAGAATGGGGCGGGGTCATGGAAAGAGGGAGAATGGGGCGGGGTGATGGAAAGCAGGAGAATGGGGCGGGGTTATGGAAGGAGGGAGAATGGGGCGGGGTGATGGAAGGAGGGAGAATGGGGCGGGGTGATGGAAAGCGGGAGAATGGGGCGGGGTGATGGAAAGAGGGAGAATGGGTTGGGGTGATGGAAAAAGGGAGAATGGGGAGGGGTGATGGAAAGAGTGAGAATTGGGCGGGGTGATGGAAAGCGGGACAATGGAGCGCGATGATGGAAAGCGGGAGAATGGGGCGGGGTGATGGAAAGCGGGAGAATGGGGCGGGGTGATGGAAAGAGGGAAAATGGCGCGGGGTGATGGCAAGCGGGAGAATGGGGCGGGGTGGTGGAAAGTGGAAGAATGGGGCGGGGTGATGGAAAGAAGGAGAATGGGGCGGGGTGATGGAAAGCGGGAGAATGGGACGGGGTGATGGAAAGCGGGAGAATGGGGCGGGGCGATGGAAAGCGGGAGAATGGGGCGGGGTGATGGAAAGCGAGAGAATGGGGCGGGGTGATGGAAAGTGGGAGAATAGGGAGGGTTGATGGAAAGAGGGAGAATTGGGCGGGGTGATGGAAAGCGGGAGAATGGAGCGGGGTGATGGAAAGCGAGAGAATGGGGCGGGGTGATGGAAAAAGGGAGAATGGGGAGGGGTGATGGAAAGAGTGAGAATTGGGCGGGGTGATGGAAAGCGGGACAATGGAGCGGGATGATGGAAAGCGAGAGAATGGGGTGGGTTGATGGAAAGTGGGAGAATGGGGCGGGGTGATGGAAAGAGGGGAATTGGCGCGGGGTGATGGAAAGGGGGAGAATGGGGCGGGGTGATGGAAAGAGGGAGAATGGGGCGGGCTGATAGAAAGAAGGAGAATGGGGCGGGGTGATGGAAAGCGGGAGAATGGGGCGGGGTGATGGAAAGCGGGAGAACGGGACGGGGTGATGGAAAGAGGGAGAATGGGGCGGGGTGATGGAAAGCGGGAGAATGGGGCGGGGTGATGGAAAGTGGGAGAATGGGGCGGGGTGATGGAAAGCGGGAGAATGGGGAGAGGTGATGGAAAGAGGGAGAATTGGGCGGGTCGATGGAAAGCGGGAGAATGGAGCGGGGTGATAGAAAGCGGGAGAATGGGGCGGGGTGATGGAAAGCGGGAGAATGGGGCGGGGTGATGGAAAGAGGGAGAATGGGGCGGGGTGATGGAAAGCGGGAGAATGGGGCGGGGTTATGGAAGGAGGGAGAATGGGGCGGGGTGATGGAAGGAGGGAGAATGGGGCGGGGTGATGGAAAGCGGGAGAATGGGGCGGGGTGATGGAAAGAGGGAGAATGGGTTGGGGTGATGGAAAGCGGGAGAATGGGGCGGGGTGATGGAAAGCGGGAGAACGGGGCGGGGTGATGGAACGCGAGAGAATGGGGCGGGGTGATGGAAGGAGGGAGAATGGGGAGGGTGATGGAAAGCGGGGGAATGGGGCGGGATGATGGGAAGCGGAAGAATGGGGCGGGGTGATGGAAAGCGGGAGAATGGGGCGGGGTGATGGAAAGCGGGAGAATGGGGTGGGGAGATGGAAAGCGGGAGAAAGGGGAGGGGTGATGGAGAGCGGGAGAATGGGGCGGGCTGATGAAAAGCGGGAGAATGGGGCGGGGTGATGGAAGGAGGGAGAATGGGGCAGGGTGATGGAAGGAGAGAGAAGGGGGCGGGGTGATGGAAAGTGGGGAAATGTGGCGGGATGATGGAAGGAGGGAGAATGGGGCGGGGTGATGGAAAGAGGGAGAATGGGGCGGGGTGATGGAAGGAGGGAGAATGGGGCGGGGTGATGGAAGGAGGGAGAATGGGGCGGAGTGATGGAAACCGGGATAATGGGGCGGGGTGATGGAAGGAGGGAGAATGGGGCGGGATGATGGAATGCGGGAGAATGGGGCGGGGTGATAGAAAGCGGGAGAATGGGGCGGGGTGATGGAAAGCGGGAGAATGGGGCGGGGTGACGGAAATCGGGAGAATGGGGCGGGGTGATGGAAAGCGGGAGAATGGGGCGGGGTGATGGAAGGAGGGAGAATGGGGCGGGGTGATAGAAAACGGGAAAATGTGGTGGGGTGATGGAAAGCGGGAGAATGGGGTGGGGTTATGGGAAGCGGGAGAGTGGGGCGGGGTGATGGAAAGCGGGAGAATGGGGCGGGGTGATGGAAGGAGGGAGAATGGGGCGGGGTGATGGAAAGCGAGAGAATGTGGCGGGGTGATGGAAAGCGGGAGAATGGGGCGAGGTGATGGAAAGCGGGAGAATGGGGCTGGGTGATGGAAAGCGGGAGAATGGGGCGGGGTGATGGAAAGCAGGAGAATGGGGCGGGGTGATGGAAAGCGAAAGAATGGGGCGAGGTGATGGAAGGAGGAAGAATGGGGAGGGGTGATGGAAAGCGGGGGAATGGGGCGGGATGATGGGAAGCAGAAGAATGGGGCGGGGTGATGGAAAGCGGGAGAATAGGGCGGGGTGATGGAAAGCGGGAGAATGGGGCGGGGAGATGGAAAGCGGGAGAAAGGGGAGGGGTGATGGAAAGCGGGAGAATGGGGGCGGGCTGTTGGAAAGCGGGAGAATGGGGCGGGGTGATGGAAGGAGGGAGAATGGGGCGGGGTGATGGAAGGAGAGAGAAGGGGGCGGTGTGATGGAAAGTGGGAGAATGTGGCGGGGTGATGGAAAGCGGGAGAATGGGGTGGGGATATGGGAAGCGGGAGAATGGGGTGGGGTGATGGAAAGCGGGAGAATGGGGCGGGGTGATGGAAGGAGGGAGAATGGGGCGGGGTGATGGAAGGAGGGAGAATGGGGCGGAGTGATGGAAAGCGGGATTATGGGGCGGGGTGATGGAAGGAGGGAGAATGGGGCGGGATGATGGAAAGCGGGAGAATGGGGCAGGGTGATGGAAAGCAGGAGAATGGGGCGGGGTGATGGAAATCGGGAGAATGGGGTGGGGTGATGGAAAGCGGGAGAAAGGGGAGGGGTGATGGAAAGCGGGAGAATGGGGCGGGCTGTTGGAAAGCGGGAGAATGGGGCGGGGTGATGGAAGGAGGGAGAATGGGGCGGGGTGATGGAAGGAGAGAGAAGGGGGCGGTGTGATGGAAAGTGGGAGAATGTGGCGGGGTGATGGAAAGCGGGAGAATGGGGTGGGGATATGGGAAGCGGGAGAATGGGGCGGGGTGATGGAAAGCGGGAGAATGGGGCGGGGTGATGGAAGGAGGGAGAATGGGGCGGGGTGATGGAAGGAGGGAGAATGGGGCGGAGTGATGGAAAGCGGGAGAATGGGGCGGGGTGATGGAAGGAGGGAGAATGGGGCGGGATGATGGAAAGCGGGAGAATGGGGCGGGGTGATGGAAAGCAGGAGAATGGGGCGGGGTGATGGAAATCGGGAGAATGGGGCGGGGTGATGGAAAGCGGGAGAATGGGGCGGGGTGATGGAAGGAGGGAGAATGGGGCGGGGTGATAGAAAGCGGGAGAATGTGGCGGGGTGATGGAAAGCGGGAGAAGGGGGTGGGGTTATGGGAAGCGGTAGAACAGGGCGGGGTGATGGAAAGCGGGAGAATGGGTCGGGGTGATGGAAGGAGGGAGAATGGGGCGAGGTGATGGAATGAGGGAGAATGGGGCGAGGTGATGGAATGAGGGAGAATGGGGCGGGGTGATGGAAAGCGGGAGAATGGGGCGGGGTGATGGAAGGATGGAGAATGGGGCGGGGTGATGGAAAGCGGGAGAATGGGGCGGGTTGATGGAAAGCGGAAGAATGGGGCGGGTGATGGAATGCGGGAGAATGGGGCGGGGTGATGGAAAGAGGGAGAATGGGGCAGGGTGATGGAAAAGGGGAGAATGGGGGGGGGTGATAGAAAGAGGGAGAATTGGGCGGGGTGATGGAAAGCGGAAGAATGGGGCGGGGTGATGGAAAGCGGGAGAATGGGGCGGGGTGATGGAAAGCGGGAGAATGGGGCGGGGTGATGGAAGGAGGGAGAATGGGGCGGGGTGATGGAAGGAGGGAGAATGGGGCGGAGTGATGGAAAGCGGGAGAATGGGGCGGAGTGATGGAAAGCGGGAGAATGGGGCGGGGTGATGGAAAGCGGGAGAATGGGGTGGGGTGATGGAAAGCGAGAGAATGGGGCGAGGTGATGGAAGGAGGAAGAATGGGGAGGGGTGATGGAAAGCGGGGGAATGGGGCGGGATGATGGGAAGCGGAAGAATGGGGCGGGGTGATGGAAAGCGGGAGAATGGGGCGGGGTGATGGAAAGCGGGAGAATGGGGCGGGGAGATGGAAAGCGGGAGAAAGGGAAGGGGTGATGGAAAGCGGGAGAATGGGGCGGGCTGATGGAAAGCGGGAGAATGGGGCGGGGTGATGGAAGGAGGGAGAATGGGGCGGGGTCATGGAAGGAGAGAGAAGGGGGCGGGGTGATGGAAAGTGGGAGAATGTGGCGGGGTGATGGAAAGCGGGAGAATGGGGTGGGGATATGGGAAGCGGGAGAATGGGGCGGGGTGATGGAAAGCGGGAGAATGGGGCGGGGTGATAGAAGGAGGGAGAATGGGGCGGGGTGATGGAAGGAGGGAGAATGGGGCGGAGTGATGGAAAGCGGGAGAATGGGGCGGGGTGATGGAAGGAGGGAGAATGGGGCGGGATGATGGAAAGCGGGAGAATGGGGCGGGGCGATGGAAAGCGGGAGAATGGGGCGGGGTGATGGAAATCGGGAGAATGGGGTGGGGTGATGGAAAGCGGGAGAATGAGGCGGGGTGATGGAAAGCGGGAGAATGGGGCGGGGTGATGGAAGGAGGGAGAATGGGGCGAAGTGATAGAAAGCCGGTGAATGTGGCGGGGTGATGGAAAGCGGGAGAAGGGGGTGGGGTTATGGGAAGCGGTAGAACAGGGCGGGGTGATGGAAAGCGGGAGAATGGGGCGGGGTGATGGAAGGAGGGAGAATGGGGCGAGGTGATGAAAGGAGGGAGAATGGGGCGGGGTGATGGAAAGCGGGAGAATGGGGCGGGGTGATGGAAGGAGGGAGAATGGGGCGGGGTGATGGAAAGCGGGAGAATGGGGCGGGTTGATGGAAAGCGGAAGAATGGGGCGGGTGATGGAAAGCGGGAGAATGGGGCGGGGTGATGGAAAGAGGGAGAATGGGGCGGGGTGATGGAAAAGGGGAGAATGGGGAGGGGTGATAGAAAGAGGGAGAATTGGGCGGGGTGATGGAAAGCGGAAGAATGGGGCGGGGTGATGGAAAGCGGGAGAATGGGGCTGGGTGATGGAAAGCGGGAGAATGGGGCGCGGAGATGGAAAGCGGGAGAATGGGGCGGGGTGATGGAAAGAGGAAGAAAGGGGCGGGGTGATGGAAAGCGGGAGAATGGGGCGGGATGATGGAAAGCGTGAGAATGGGGCGGGGTGATGGAAAGAGGGAGAATGGGGCGGGGTGATGGAAAGCGGGAGAATGGGGCGGGGTAATGGAAAGCGGGAGAATGGGGCGGGGTGATGGAAGGAGGGAGAATGGGGCGGGATGATGGAAAGCGGGAGAATGGGGCAGGGTGATGGAAAGCGGGAGAATGGGGCGGGGTGATGGAAAGCGGGAGAATGGGGCGGGGTGATGGAAATCGGGAGAATGGGGCGGGGTGATGGAAAGCGGGAGAATGGGGTGGGTTGATGGAAGGAGGGAGATAGGGGCGGGGTGATAGAAAGCGGGAGAATGTGGCGGGGTGATGGAAAGCGGGAGAATGGGGTGGGGTTATGGGAAACGGGAGAATGAGGCGGGGTGATGGATAGCGGGAGAATGGGACGTGGTTATGGGAAAGAGGGAGAATGGGGAGTTGATGCTTTTATAGGGGAGTTGACGCTTTTATAGAAGAGTTGATGCTCTTATAGGGGAGTTGACGCTCTTATAGAGAAGTTGACGCTTTTATAGGGGAGTTGACGCTCTTATAGGGGAGTTGATGCTCTTATATGAGAGTTGACGCTTTTAAATGAGAGTTGACACTTTTATGGGGGAGTTGACACTTATATATGAGAGTTGACGCTTTTATATGGGAGTTGACGCTCTTATAGGAGAGTTGACGCTGTTGTAGGGGAGTTGACGCTCGTATAGCAGAGTTGACGCTCTTATAGGAGAGTTGACTCTCTTCTAGGGGAGTTGACGCTTTTATATGAGAGTTGACGCTTTTATGGGGGATTTGACGCTCTTATAGGGGAGTTGACGCTCTTATAGGAGGGTTGACGCTTTTATAGGGGAGTTGACGCTCTTATAGGAAAGTTGACGCTCTTACAGGGGAGTTGACGCTCTTATAGGGGAGTTGACACTCTTATAGGGGAGTTGACGCTCTTTTAGGAGAGTTGATGCTATAATATGAGAGTTGACGCTTTTGTGGGGGAGTTGACGCTCATATAGGAGAGTTGACGCACTTATCGGAGAGCAGACGCTTTTATAGGGAGTTGACGCTTTTACAGGGAAGTTGACGCTCTTATAGGGGAGTTGACGCTCTGATAGGAAAGTTGATGCTCTTACAGGAAAGTTGATGCTCTTATAGGAAAGTTGACGCTCTTATAGGAAAGTTGACGCTCTTATGGAGTTGATGCCCTTTTAGGGGAGTTGATGCTCTTATATGCGAGTTGACACTTTTAAATGGGAGTTGACACTTTTATGGGGGAGTTGATGCTTTTATATCAGAGTTGACGCTTTTGTTGGGGAGTTGATGCTCTTATAGGGGAGTTGACGCTCTTATGGGAGAGTTGACGCTAATATATGAGAGTTGATGCTTTTATAGAGGAGTTGACGCTCTTATAAGGGAGTTGAATCTCTTATAGGGGAGATGACGGTCTTGTTGGGGAGTTGACACTCTTATAGGGGAGCTGACGCTCTTATAGGGGAGTTGACGCTCTTATAGGGGAGTTGACGCTCTTATAGGGGAGTTGACACTCTTATAGGGAAGTTGGCGCTCTTATAGGGGGAGTTGACGCTTTTATGTGAGAGTTGACGCTTTTATGTGGGAGTTGACGCTCTTATAGGAGAGTTGACGCTCTTATTGGAGAGCTGAGACTTTTATAGGGGAGTTGACGCTTTTATAGGGGAGTTGACTCTCTTATAGGGGAGTTGACGCTCTTATAGGGAAGTTTACGCTCTAATAGGGGAGTTGACGCTCTTATAGAAGAGCTGACGCTCTTATATGATAGTTGACACTTTTGAATGGGAGTTGACACTTTTATATGAGAGTTAAAGATGTAAAGGGAGAGTTGACGCTCTTATAGGAGAGTTGACGCTCTTATAAAAGAGCTGACGCTCTTGTAGGGGAGTTGACACTCTTATAGAGGAGTTGACGCTCTTATAGGGGAGTTGACGCTCTTATAGGGGAGTTGACACCCTTATAGGGGAGTTGACGCTCTTATAGGGGAGTTGACGCTCTTATATGAGAGTTGACGCTATTATTGGGGAGTTGACGCTTTTATAGGGGAGTTGACACTCGTTTTGGGGAGTTGACGCTCTTATAGGGGAGTTGACGCTCTTATAGGGGAGTTGACGCTCTTATAAGGAAGTTGATGCTCTTGAAGGGGATTTGACGCCCTTATAGGGGAGTTGACGCTCGTATATGAGAGTTAACACTTTTAAAGAGGAGTTGATGTGTTTATAGGGGAGTTGACGCTCATATAGGGGAGTTGACGCTTTTATATGAGAGTTGCCCCTTAAATGGGGGAGTTGACGCTCTTATAGGAGAGCTGGCGCTTTTATAGGGGAGTTGAAGCTCTTATAGGGAAGTTGACGCTCTTATATGGAAGTTAACGCTCTAATAGGGCAGTTGACGCTCTTATATGAGAGTTGACGCTTTTAAAGGTGAGTTCACATGTTTATGGGAGAGTTGACGGTTTTATGTGAGAGTTGACGCTATTATAAGGGAGTTGACGCTCTTATAGGAGAGTTGACGCTCTTTAACGAGAGCTGACGCCTTTATAGGGGAGTTGACGCTTTTATAGGGGAGTTGACGCTCTTATAGGGGAGTTGATGCTCTTATAGGGAAGTTGACGCTCTTATAGGGGAGTTGACGCTCTTATATGAGAGTTGACGCTTTCCATTACCCCGCCCCATTCTCCCGCTTTCCATCACCCCGCCCCATTCTCCCGCTTTCCATCACCCCGCCCCATTCTCCCACTTTCCATCACCCCGCCCCATTCTCCCGCTTTCCATCACCCCGCCCCATTCTTCCTCTTTCCATCACCCCGCCCCTTTCTCCCGCTTTCCATCACCCCGCCCCATTCTCCCGCTTTCCATCACCCCGCCTCATTCTCCCGCTTTCCATCACCCCCCCCATTCTCCCGCTTTCCATCACCCCGCCCCATTCTTCGCTTTCCATCACCCCGCCCCATTCTCCCACTTTCAATCACCCCGCCCCTTTCTTCCTCTTTCCATCACCCTGCCCCATTCTCCCGCTTTCCATCACCCCGCCCCATTCTCCCGCTTTCCATCACCCCGCCCCACTCTCCCGCTTTCCATCACCCCGCCCCATTCTCCCGCTTTCCATCACCCCACCCCATTCTCCCGCTTTCCATCACCCCGCCCCATTCTCCGTTTTCCATCATCCCGCCCCATTCTCCCGCGTTCCATCACCCCGCCCCATTCTCCCGCTTTCCATCACCTTGCCCCATGCTCCCGCTTTCCATCACCCCGCCCCATCCTCCCGCTTTCCACCACCCTGCCCCATTCTCCCGCTTTCCATCACCCTGCCCCATTCTCTCGCTTTCCATCACTCTGCCCCATTCTACCTCTTTCTATCACCCCGCCCCATTCTCCCTCTTTCCATCACCCCGCCCCATTCTCCCGATTTCCATCACCCCGCCCCATTCTCTCGCCTCTTTCCATCACCCCGCCCCATTCTCCCGATTTCCATCACTCCGCCCCATTCTCCCGCTTTCCATCACCCCGCCCCATTCTCCCGCTTTCCATCACCCCGCCCCATTCTCCAACTTTCCATCACCCCACCCCATTCTCCCGCTTTCCATCAACCCGACCCATTCTCCCGCTTTCCATCACCCCGCCCCATTCTCCCTCTTTTGATCACCCGCCCCATTCTCCCGTTTTCCTTCACCCCGCCCCATTCTTTCGCCTCTTTCCATCACCCCGCCCCATTCTCCCGCTTTCCATCACCCCGCCCCATTCTCCCGCTTTCCATCACCCCGCCCCATTCTCCAGCTTTCCATCACCCCGCCCCATTCTCCCTCTTTCCATCACCCTTCCCCATTCTCCCTCTATCCATCACCCCACCCAATTCTCCCGCTTTCCATCACCCCGTCCCATTCTCCCGCTTTCCATCACCCGCCCCATTCTTTTGCGTTCCATCACCCCACCCCATCCTCCCCTCTTTCCATCACCCCGCCCCATTCTCCCGATTTCTATCACCCCGCCCCATTCTCCCTCTTTCCATCACCCCGCCCCATTCTCCCGCTTTCCATCACCCCGCCCCATTCTCCCTCTTTCAATCAACCCGCCCCATTCTCTCGCTTTCCATCACCCCGCCCCGTTCTCCCGCTTTCCATCACCCCGCCCCATTTTCCCGCTTTCCATCACCCCGCCCCATTCTCCTGCTTTCCATCACCCCGCCCCATTCTCCCTCATTCCATCACCCCGCCCCATTCTCTCGCTTTCCATCACCCCGCCCAATTCTCCCGCTTTCCATCACCCCCTCCCATTCTCCCTCTTTCCATCACCCCGCTCCATTCTCCCGCTTTCCATCACCCCGCCCTATTCTCCCTCTTTCCATCACCCCTCCCTATTCTCCCTCTTTCCATCACCCCGCCCTATTCTCCCGCTTTCCATCACCCCGCCCCATTCTCCCGCTTTCCATCACCCCGCCCCATTCTCCCGCTTTCCATAACCCCGCTGCATTCTCCCGCTTTCCATCACCCAGCCACATTCTCCCACTTTCCATCAGCCCGCCCCATTCTCCCTCCTTCCATCGCCCTGCCCCATTCTCCCTCCTTCCATCACCTCGCCCCATTTTCCCGCTTTCTATCAGCCCGCCCCATTCCACCGCTTTCCATCACCCCGCCCCATTCTCCAGCTTTCCATAACCCGCCCCATTCTCCCGCTTTCCATCACCCCGCCCCATTCTCCCGCTTTCTATCACCCCACCCCATTCTCCCGCTTTCCATCACCCCACCCCATATTCCCGCTTTCCATCACCCCGCCCCATTCTCCAGCTATCCATCAGCCGCCCCATTCTCTCGCTTTCCATCACCCCGCCTCATTCTCCCGATTCCCATCAACCCGCCCCATTCTCCCGCTTTCTATCACCCGTCCCCATTCTCCCTCCTTCCATCACCCCGCCCCATTCTCCCGCTTTCCATCACCCCGCCCCATTCTACCACTTTCCATCACCTCGCCCCTTTCTCCCGCTTTCCATCACCCTGCCCCATTCTCCCGCTTTCCATCAACCTGCCCCATTCTCCCGCTTTCCATCACCCTCCCCGATTCTCCCTCCTTCTATCACCCCACCCCATTTTCCGGCTTTCCATCACCCCGCCTTATTCTCCTGCTCTCCATCACCCCGCACCATTCGCCCGCTTTCCATCACCCCTCCCCATTCTCCTGCTTTCCATCACCCTGCCCCATTCTCCCTCCTTCCATGACCCCGCCCCATTCTCCCTCCATCCATCACCCCGCCCTATTCTCCCAATTTCCATCACCCCACCCCATTCTCCCGCTTTCCATCACCCCGCCTTATTCTCCCGCTTTCCATCACCTTGCCCCATTCTCCCGCTTTCCATCACCCCGCCCCATTCTCCCGCTTTCCCTCACCCCTCCCCATTCTCCCGCTTTCCATCACCCCGCCCCGTTCTCCCGCTTTCAATCACCCCACCCCATTCTCCTGCTTTCCATCACTCCGCCCCATTCTCCCTCCTTCCATCACCCCGCCCCATTCTCCCGCTTTCCATCACCCCAACCCATTCTCCCACTTTCCATCACCCCGCCCAATTCTCTCGATTTCCGTCACCCTGCCCCATTATTCCTCTTTCCGTCACCCCACCCCATTCTCCCGCTTTCCATCATCCAGCCCCATTCCCCCGCTTTCCATCACCCCGCCCTATTCTCCCTCTTTCCATCACTCCGCCCCATTCTCCCTCCTTCCATCACCCCGCCCCATTCCCCCGCTTTCCATCACCCCGCCCCATTCTCCCGCATTCCATCACCCCGCCCCATTCTCCCTCCTTCCATCACCCCGCCCCATTCTCCCGCTTTCCATCACCCCACCCCATTCTTCCGCATTCCATCACCCCGCCCCATTCTCCCGCTTTCCATCACCTCGCCCCATTCTCCCGCATTCCATCACCCCGCCCCATTCTCTCGGTTTCCATCACCCCGCCCCCTTCTCCCTCCTTCCATCACCCTGCCCCATTCTCCCTCCTTCCATCACCCCGCCCCTTTCTCCCGCTTTCCATCAGCCCGCCCCATTCTCCCGCTTTCAATCACCCCGCCCCATTCTCCCGCGTTCCATCTCCCCGCCCCATTCTCCCGGTTTCCATAACCCCGCCCCCTTCTCCCTCCTTCCATCACCCCGCCCCATTCTCCCTCCTTCCATCATCCCGCCCCTTTCTCCCGCTTTCCATCAGCCCGCCCCATTCTCCCGCTTTCCATCACCCAGCCCCATTCTCCCGCTCTCCATCACCCCGCCCCGTTCTCCCGCTTTCCATAACCCCGCCTCATTCTCACGCTTTCCATCACCCCGCCCCATTCACCCGCTTTCCATCACCCCGCCCCATTCCGCTCCTTTCCGTCACCCCGCCCTATTCTCCCGCTTTCCATCACCTCGCCCCATTCTCACGCTCTCCATCACCCCGCCCCATTCACCCGCTTTCCATCACCCCGCCCCATTCTCACGCTTTCCATCACCCCACCCCACTCCCGCTTTCCATCACCCCGCCCCATTCTCCCGCTTTCCATCACCCCGCCCCATTCTCCCGCTTTCCATCACCTCGCCCCATTCTCACGCTTTCCATCACCCCGCCCCATTCTCCCGCTTTCCATCACCCCGCCCCATTCTCCCTCCTTCCATCACCCCGCCTCATTCTCCCTCCTTCCATCACCCCGCCCCATTCTCCCGCTTTCCATCACCCTACCCCATTCTCCCGCTTCCCATCAACCCGCCCCATTCTCCTGCTTTCCATCACCCCACCCCATTCTCCCACATTCCATCACTCCGCCCCATTCTCCCGCTTTCCATAACCCCGCCCCATTCTCCTGCTTTCCATCACCCCGCCATATTCTCCCACTTTCCATCACCCCGCCCCATTCTCCCTCCTTCCATCACCCGCCCCATTCTCCCTCCTTCCATCACCCCACCCCATTTTCCCTCCTTCCATCACCCCGCCCCATTCTCCCGCTTTCCATCACCACGCCTCATTCTCCCGCTTTCCATCACCCCGCCCCATACTCCCGCTTTCCATCACCCCGCCCCATTCTCCCGCTTTCCATCACCCCGCCCCATTCTCCCGCTTTCCATCACCCCGCCCCAATCTCCCTCCTTCCATCACCCCGCCCCATTCTCCCGCTTTCCATGAGCCCGCCCCATTCTCCCTCCTTCCATCACCTCGGCCCATTCTCCTTCCTTCCATCACCCTGCCCCATTCTCCCGCTTTCCATCACCCCGCCCCATTTTCCCGTTTTCCATCACCCCGCCCCATTCTCCTGCTTTCCATCACCCCGCCCCATTCTCCTGCTTTCCACCACCCCGCCCCATTCTCCCGCTTTCCATCACCCCGCCCCATTCTCCCGCTTTCCATCACCCCACCCTATCCTCCCACCTTCTATCAACCCGCCCCATTCTCCCTCCTTCCATCACCTCGCCCCATTCTCCCGCTTTCCATCACTCCGTCCCATTCTCCTGCTTTCCATCACCCCGCCCCGTTCTCCCGCTTTCCATCACCCCGCCCCATTCCCCCGCTTTCCATCACCCCGCCCCATTCTCCCGCTTTCCATCACCCCGCCCCGTTCTCCCGCTTTCCATCACCCCGCCCCATTCTCCCGCTTTCCATCACCCCGCCCCATTCTCCCTCTTTCCATCACCCCGCCCCATTCTCCCTCCTTCCATCACCCCGCCCCATTCTCCGCTTCCCATAACCCCAGCCCCATCTCCCGCTTTCCATCACCCCGCCACTTTCTCCCACTTCATCCCGCGCCATTCTCCCTCCTTCCATCACCCCGCCCCATTCTCCCTCCTTCCATCACCCCGCCCCATTCTCCCGCTTTCCATCAGCCCGCCCCATTCTCCCGCTTTCCATCAGCCCGCCCCATTCTCCCGCTTTCCATCACCCCGCCCTATTCTCCCGCTTTCCATCAACCTGCCCCCTTCTCCCGCTTTCCATCACCCCGCCCCATTCTCCCGCTTTCCATCACCCCACCCCATTTTCCCATTTTCCATCACCTCGCCCCATTCTCCTT